ATGCTGAGAGTGGTCCTGTTGCTGAGGTTGGGGTCATCCTGTAATCTCTTACGAACTACCTCCAACACTTCCGTGACTGGGATGCAAGTGAAGAGAGATGTACATCGTACGAGACTATGGTTCCAGTCTCCAGTATTATAAGTTGGACAGCACCAGGGCCTGTTACACTGCTACATGTTGTTTGGTGACATGCTGCAATACTAAAACGCAAATAATGTGTGTTTCATTCATATTATGTCAGTGGTTGAATGGCAATAAAGCTGAGTCTGGGCCCGAAAAAAATAAAATAAAAACTTTGATGCAGTCAGGTGAAAACTTGTTTTCACAGCAGATTTTTGCTTATGCTGCCAGTGCCAGTGTCGGTTCTGTATCTATACAGTTATCATACATACATGAACAGACAATGCCAGAAAAAAAATAGCTGTGTTAATTTGTTCCATACCTGCAGAGTCTTAGCTTTCATGGTCATCCATCTTTAACATTAAAAAAAGCCTATTGCCAGCTGATTAGCTAACTATGAGCTGGTTTGTTATGGATTGGATCCATCACCATATTGTACTTAATTTATTTGAATAAAAAACACATGCACAAAGCGGTTCTGAATTTGAGCTGTTTAATGTGTTGCATCAAAATGAAGGAAGACATGACTCTTTCTGACATCTTAGCTCTTTTCTCACCCTTCTTTATCTTCCCTTGTTTCTTCTTCCTCTTCTTCTCCTATGCAGTGGTTTAAGATTTCAGAAATGTTAAAATTCTTATTATAAAGTATTAATGAGGGCAGGCTGTTTGAGCATGCTCAGAAAGGGAGTGCATGGGTGTGTGTGGGATCAAAGCTTTTGGCGTTCTGGTGAAAGTGTGAAAGAGATCTTAAGAGAACGCAGAAGCTTTACAAAGTCGAGGACCCTGAGGATGTATGCTAAGCACGAGGAAGGAGTCTGGTGACTAGTAAGTGTCAGTACCACAGTCCAGGATGAGGCAACCAACATCCATGAATACATCAGGCCCCAACCGACCGCGGGCTCAGTGAATACCTCAGGCAGCAGAAACCCAAGAAAGAGGAAGAAGAGGAGGAACCAACATTGAAGGACAGACCCCTGCATATCCAGAAGTCCTGCCAGTGGCTGGACAAAGCTGGACTAATCATGGCAGCACAGGAACAAGCTCTGAGCACAAGATCCATAGAGGCTGAGGTCTGTCACACCAGGCGAATGACCGAATGACAGCAATATCAGAAAGAAGGAACACAAGAAGCTCGAGGAATACCAAGGGCTCAGAGAAGAGCTGGAGAAGATGTGGAGGGTGAAGGTAACAGTAGTCCCAGTGGTAATCGGAGCACTAGGTGCGGTGACTCCCAAACTAGGCGAGTGACTCCAGCAGATCCCAGGAACAACATCGGAGATCTCTGTCTGGAAGAGCGCAGTCATAGGAACAGCTAAGACACTGCGCAAGACCCTCAAGCTCCCATATATATATATATATATATATATATGAGAGAGAGAGAGAGAGATTGTGGCTTATAAGTACAGTCGATTTAAAAATCACACCTCGAAATAATGGCAGCACGGTGGTTAGCACTGTTGCCGCACAGCAAGAAGGTCCTGAGTTCAATTCCACCATCAGGCCGGGGTCTTTCTGTGTGGAGTTTGCATGTTCTCCCCGTGTTTGCGTGGGTTCCCTCCGGGTACTCCGGCTTCCTCCCACCATCCAAAGACATGCAGCTTGTGGGGATAGGTTAATTGGATAATCCAAATTGTCACTAGGTATGAATGTGAGTGCGAATGGTTGTCTGTCCCTGTGTGTTGGCCCTGCGACAGACTGGCGACCTGTCCAGGGTGTACCCTGCCTCTCGCCCTATGACAGCTGGGATAGGCTCCAGCGCCCCCCGCGACCCTGAAAAGGATAAGCGGAAGCGAATGGATGGATGGATGGACCTCGAAATATATTCTGAAATTGTTGATTCGTACAACCTTTTGGAGCCCATAAAATTGGGGGAAAATAACAGGATTGCTCAATACTATTTCTTTTGCTGTGAGGAGGCGATTGGCTCCAACAGAGCTTTGACTACACTCCGAAGGAGGCTATGGACAAGGCTATGGACCATTTTCCACAGCTCAACTGGCTGCTACTGCAAGGTTAATTGTGTTAATCCCAGAACCAGCACAGCTGCACTCGGCTTAGTCACTGGTGGACACCGGAGATGAAGGGGGCCGCCAGTCCTGAAGGAGTCTTATCATGAAGGAGTCTTAGCAGGCCTGTGGGACTTCAGAGGCAGCAGACAGGTACTGGCAGACCCAGGGGAGTGCAGCTGTGCTAGTGGCTGATGGAAAAACTCTGGTGTGGCAGGAGTTTGGAGACTCTTGGTTGCCTTCAAAGCGGTTCTAGCAAACCGTCAGACAACTCAGAAGGGGAAAGCAGTATTCTAAACACACTGTGTACAGTGGTGCTGACCTCGACAGGGGATTTAGTCAGGTGGTGGAATGAACACGTTCAGGATCTACTCAATCCAATAGTCACACCTTCTATAGTGGAATTTTGTTTTTCATTATTTTTATTTAATTATTGGTTTTTGTAGATGATGTGTTCTGTTGGCTTCATCCAGCTTGCACCGGAACAGTTTTTAGCTGAGTATGAAGCAGTGAGGATAAAAATTAGCACCTTCAAGTCCAGCCAAAAATGGGTTGAGTGATTTCCTGATCGAGTACAAATAAATAAATTCATATTAAAAAAATGTTGAATAATAGATTTTCTTTTGGTGTGAAATTTGTAAATGTGTCCAAATCTGCTCATGTGCCTGAATGTAGTTATACCTAGGCATGGCTCAAAAAGTAGAGGTAAAGACACTTATAGTCAAGAAGAAAAGGCCAGATTTGAATTCCATTGAAATGTTTGGGAATTTGAAACTAGCTGAATGAAAAATGAAAACTTCACTGTGCTGCTACAAAAGTGGATTTTCTGGCTTCACCATTAGGCGCCAATGCTTCATTCCTGATTTGTCTGGATATCTTCTGTTATCTCTTTCCTTGTAGGTTCCCAGCTACTCACTTGCCATAAGAGCTTTGGATAGTGGAAGCCCTGCCATGTCCTCCACTGTGATGGTAAACATAGGCATTTCTGACATCAATGATAATCCACCCACCTTTTCACCGGCCAACCTCTCTGCTGTCATACAGGTAATCTGAATAATCCTCACAATCTTCAGTTGAACCCAAATATAACAATATCATGTAATAATTCAGGTGAACTATAGTACTTAAATTCCTAAGTCAGTACTTTAAGTACGCCTGTCCCCTCCCCTATATCAGCATCTCTAAAAATTAGGCAGTGAAAAAAAGGAAAGCTTACAGTTGCTGTGAAATCTGATATTGCGACACAGGCCAAGCATATAAAAAAAATTCTCATCTCTATTTATAACTGTTATGAGCACAGATACCTACTTCATTTTATTTTGTCATGTTTCTCATGAAGAATGACATTATGAATGACCCTTGAACCTGAAATAGTCTATTAAAAGACTATACATTTGTTTTATTCTGCTGGAATGTTGATTGCACTCCTGTAGATTCTTTTTCAGATGTGTATTTTTCATTTTATTTTAATTTTAATAAGATTTAAATTCAGATTAGGAATTATGACTGAACGTGAAATGCATATAATGATTCATCGTCTTGGCTTCCCTTGACCAGGAAAACAAGCCAATTGGTACCAGTATCCTGCAGTTGTCAGTCATTGATGAGGACTCCTCTCAAAATGGCCCACCCTTCGACTTCCGTATCTTATTGGGAAATGAAGGGAGGGAGTTTGTGTTGGAAAAAGATGGGACACTAGTAGCCAATCAAGTATTCAGAAGGGACCTGGCAACAGAATATGTAATTCAGATACAGGTAGAGTCAAACTCTTGCTTACACCACACAAAGTTTTTTCAGTCATTCTTCTCTACTGTCATACTATTGTAAAAGATAGTGTTTTACGTTTTAAGCAGTGATGGGAATAACAGCGTTACAATTACTGAAAAACAGCAATAATTTGTGTGGCATCTTATTGAATGCAGAACAGCTGATGGTTATGTAAATAGTTTGAAGTGGTTATTTAAAAAAGGGGTAAAAGGTGAATAGCTGCAAATAGCTTTGTTGTTTGCAAAACTTGTGAATATGATTTTAAAATTGGAAATTTATATTTGTATTTAAAGTTATGAAATATGATTCATTAAACATGTTTGTGGTTGTTACAGTAAAAAATATAACTTTTTCTACTCGGATGTTTTTTGTCTGATTTTAGATCAATTGTGTTAATACAGCATGTCAAAATGAAAACATAACTGTAAATTCAGACACGTTAGGTCATGCTAAAAAGAATGATACCAAACAAGGCAAAGGTGAAATGTAGAGGGAAAATCAAAAGCAGTTAAAAATGGGCAATTATACCCTGGACCCCAGAGGGTTAAACATTTTATTTAAAGTAACGCAATAGTTACTTTTCAAGTAATTAATTACTTTTAGAATATTGTAACTCAGTTACTTTTTTTTTGAAGAAGTAACTAGTAACTGTAATTAATTACTTTTTCAAAGTAACTTGCCCAGCACTGGTTTTAAGTTCAGCAAACTTTAGCGAAGCATGTATCTACCATTGCTGTGTCACAATTTGGCCACAGTGCCTGCTGCTCAGCAAGTTCTACATTCTTCAGTTTAAAAAAAATGTTGTACCTTGCTAAAAAAAACAATTAAAGCAGCAATTAAAATGGTATATATTCATGTTTGTCGAAATGGTATTTAAAATGTTAGAGCCTGTTGGCTGAGGTACATTCTAGCGGTGAATTATTTTGATAGCCTTTTCTGTCTTTTGTCTATATGTCTACTGCTATTGTTAAAAAGGTAGAAATGTCAAAAAATCTATTTTTGAAATATCCTCATTTAAAAAAGCTAAAGTAAAAGAAAGGTTGCATATTTCAAATATCTTTTAATCTAGTTTATACTTTTAATATTTTTCATTGGTTGTTTTTCTACTTCTAACTTCTGATCTGACTTTTTCTGCAGGTGACAGATTCGGGGAAGCCTCCTTTGTCATCCTCCTCCATACTCACAATCAGGGTGATTGAGGAGAGCCTCCATCGACCAGTAGCAGTACCACTGGACATTCATATTGTTACTATGGAGGATGAATTTCCTGGTGGTGTGATTGGTCAGCTACATGCCACCGATGCTGACCCTTATGATGTTTTGACTTTTGGTCACGCTCCTTCAGCTCAGCGTAGTCTCTTTAAGATTAGTCCTCATGATGGAAAGATCATAGCCCTGGGTGGTTTGGATGCAGGAAGGTACTTTCTTAATGCTAGTGTCAGTGATGGCCGCTTTGCTGTTCCTGTACCCGTAAGTGTGCATGTGGAGCAGGCAACACCAGACATGTTGCGTGAAGCAGTGACAGTGCGTTTTGAGAGAGTGGCACCACAAGACTTTGTGGTGTTGTACTTGAAAAGCATGTTAAATGTGCTCCAGCAGTCTGCTGCTACTCAACAGCAGGACTCACTGCATTTGCTAAGTTTGCAGCCAGTTGGAGGGACGCAACAGCTGGATATGCTCATCACCATGGAAAAAGCAGGTGGTGGATACTATAAGGCAGCCTACCTCACGCAAAAACTAAGTGCATCACGGCGAAACCTGGAGGAAGTGCTTAGAGTGTCAGCTATCCTGGACAAGAACTGTTCTGGATTAGACTGTCGTGGGGCTCAGTGCGAACAGAGCATTGTCTTGGATTCACACAATCTCGCTACATATAGTAACCCACGGGTCAGCTTTGTCTCACCTCGCTTTCACCGGACCTCACGCTGTACATGCAATGGTAAATCAGAATTGTTTTTCTTTGCAGTCTTGCCTTAGACTACATGTAAGATACCTTTTTTGTGTATAGCGCTTTGTGACTGGTAAAGTAAATTAAAGTAATTTTATCCAGTTGCACTGCAGCTTAAGTTAAGTGGAGTGAGTTGGATACTTGCTAAACTCCCCTTGCTGTCTTTGTTTCTTCTATTTTAATAGTGTCTTACTGTGAGTTTCATTAGGATAGTTTCTCAATAGTTTCTTAATTTCTGTCCCCGTGTTTTGTGTGCATGTGTGTATGTATGACAGATGACAGCTGTTCTGTCCTGTCAGAACAATGCGAGGACCAACCCTGTCCACCAGACATGCAGTGTGTTTCAATAGAGGCCAATAGAGGGCGTTATGCATGCCAGTGTCCACAAGGCAAACTTGGAGAGTGTGCAGGTACATATCAGCAAAAGAGAAACAATCCAAAGTCAGCATGAAAGTAAAAAATGCAAGAATAACAAGTAAAAAACTAACTGTAATGTAACTCTAGAGTAATGTCTAACATTTGTTGTTGTTGTTTTTGGTGCAGGACATTCATCTTTGAGTTTCTCAGGTAACAGCTACATCAAGTACAGACTCTCTGGCCAGCTGCAAACAGAGTTGAAACTGAGCCTGAGGATCAGAACACTGCAGAGCCAAGGGATTATCATGTACACACACACTGAGCCCTGCACTGTGCTTAAGGTACATTCACACATATTACTGTAGTGTTTCCACCACTGCAAAGGACATTTTATTGAAAGTCATTTGTTGAAAAGTAACCCATCATATCATGGCATATCATATCATTAACAGAAGCCTAAATCTTATGCTACTGAGTTCTGAGTCGTTAAAATAGTCTAGTCTTACTACATTTAGTAAACTCTTTTAAATTGAGTTTTTCTATGCTTATGCTTTATTTGTTCATTTTATCACTTTGTTTTTGTTCAAATTGATTTAAACTAATTTTACTTTTTTGTATTATCTTAAATTCAGATTTGTTTTTACTTAAAACTTAAAAAAGTTTGTTCATATTGTATTTTATTTTACTGAGTAGCACGCCATTCCACCTATTTAAGCTATTTTAATGTATGTTTGTCATGTTTACCTTAGCTGCTATAATCTTATCTGTGTTTAGAACCTGTCATGCAGTTAAGTCCAGGTCAAAGTGTTTCACAGATGATTGACAAGCCAAATAAATAATGTGTCATAATGAGAAGATAAAAATAAACTGAAGAGAATAAATCATTAGATTAATTCATTATTTGATTAAATAAATGAAAATTTAAAACAATCTAAAAGCAGAATGTGTAAGATAAGATACATGAAGATGGCGGTGTGCAACGTCACAGTGGCTCTACACTCTTTTTTCCTTTTTGCGTGTTTTTTTGTTAGCGCTAATTTCACTTCTGTTTATAAGGATATATAATATGAAAACTTTACATAAAACATCCCCCAAATATTTCAGAACAGAAGTATTCGGAAGAGAGGAGAACAGTTTAGGTCTACTGAAAACTGAAACTGTGTCTCTGTTTTAACAGAGACAGAGTGACACTGAAAACTCACTAGATCATGACTTCAGCCTCAAACACTCCCAAACAGCCATGGCAACTCATGGTATCATCACTAAACATCTGTAGCAGTTCATGGTACAAAAGGCTGCATCATGGCATCGCTTCGAAATGCAGCAGAAAGTTGTGACAGCACCACTTTGGAATGTACCCTAAACAGTCATCAATCACAAATGCCACCACGAGTTATGGCATCATCTCAAACATCTAAACATCACCCTTAAAGAGTTACAGGAGCTTGTGGCTTGACCTCTAATGGCAGGTCATAGCAACTGATGGTGTCACTACCTCAGGGGTCAGCAACCTTTAAGACCCAAAAGGCCATTTGGACCTGGTTTCCACACAAAAGAAAACACTGGGAGCCGCAAATACTTTTTGACATCTAAAATTAAGATAATACTGTATATATTGTTTTTTACTTTTATGCTTTGTGTGAACAACTAAGGTGTGTTGCTTATGAAATCCATAAAGTGCTACAGAGAAAATTACATT